AAGTACTCTAAACTGTATAAATAATGTAAAATTAAATTGAATTTATTAGCCAATCAGACGAACTTCTGCCTATGATGACAACATAACTTAATTAAAAACCCGGAGAATCATAACTGAATGACGGAATCATACATTAAAATATTTACGGTTATAAAGTATAATCGGAGTCCAAGGTGGTTTAGAATTTATCAAATTACAGGTAAGTTTTAGTACTTAACATGTAGTTTCTTGTGCTTGTTATTTGGTCTTCAACTTATTTTTTATTATTTTATAATAGAGCATTCATAAATGCAGTAATAATTCGTTAGATGAACCTATTGATAAAGTTTTATTATCTTTATTTAATGATGAAAACTTTACAGATTTTTTGAAGCATTCGAGCAAACAGAATCATCTCCAACTTGACAACATCAAAAGGTGTATCGAAGGACTTTACCATACAGTTTCAAAATATTTATGTTATAATCATTTCTCAATTTACAATTGATGCTTGTCATTTTTCAATTTCCATCAATTGATAAATGACCCAGGTCAATTCTTAATGCAGATCATATGCTTATTAATGATGCTAATAATGATAAATAAATAATTTTGAAAAATATTCTTATATCATTGTGTATTTTTTATTTATTTTTTTTTTATTCTTTCTATTAATGAATCCACAAAGTTATTTTTTTCTGACCCGTGAGACTTTTAACCGAATATTAAAAACATAATCAAATTAAAGCAAAAACAAACTAAGTTTGATGGTTAGAGAACGCTACAATAAATGTCTTAATATATTAAAACCCCTCGCTAAGCAAAATATTACACATCCAATTCATAATATACAGGAACGTCAAACTTATAATGTTCAACACCTAAGTCATACAATTAATACTATGCAAGAACGCCAACTCAAGAACTCCTAACACAAGAAGGCTCAACCCAAGAACATTTAACTGAAGAATGCTTAACTCATACATTTCCGAAGTAAATAAAAAAATTTGAATCTAAGTAACGATGCAAATAATAATGGCTCAAGTAAACTGCATCAGGGTGTAGTACAATTTTTTCGGATATTGGTCAGAACTATTTATCTAATTAGCACCAGAAATAGGCTGCTTTTATTAGATTTAGGTGTATTCTTATGTGTAAAATTGCATCCTGTCATTTTTTGTTGGTACACCATGATATATTTAGGCGATCATTTTCCGGTATATATGTTTTGTTTAGAACTATACAGTATTAAAATCTGTAAACTAGGAAGGTGTTAGTAAAGCTTCGTATTCGTTATTCGAATAATATTCGTATTCGGCGAATATTAGAATAATTATTCGTCACATGAAAATTCAGTTATTGGCTGCTTTACACACAGTAACTACATAATATTAACTGCTTCATTACCTTATAACTATATTATTCGAATAAATAGTAGTCATTTGGCGAATATTCGAATAAAATATTTGCCGATCTAAATTATTCGAATAAAGCTCTAGGTGTTAGATTTCAGATCATAATTACAGTTAATAATTATACATGTATGATAAAAAACATTTATAAAAGATATTTACAACTACAGTCGCACCTCCCTAAGTGCATCCCGTCGGGGCATAGTGCAAAAAATTGAAAAATTGAAAATAAAATACAGAGGGTTATTATAAGTTGGGGCCAAGAAGTATCGTGCATTTAGAGAGGTTTTACATGGTACTTGACTTAGGGGATGCGACTGTATATTAAGATCAAAATTTTGATATTACTCTTATTAATTTAATTATAGTAATAATTATATTTTGAATAATAAAAAATTTGATTTAGATTAATAAAAGAGAATACAGATTTTTGAACAATAATTTTTTTATATTACTATTATTAAATCTAAAAATAAAAATTATAAAATATTTTACCTTTGTTTCTTATAAAAATGAAATTCTTTATAGTATTCCTTGAGTGATTTTACTATTTAATCGTAAACATACGTGTTAATGAATTGTAACGAGTTTTAAATTTTTTTTACTGCGCCATGATGATCGACATAACCTGATGCAGTAATCTAACATTAGAACACAAAATCATATACGTAGAACTGTACCAAATTATATGTTTATTAAAAAGTTTTATCAGATATGGCAGGTTATCAGGTTTGAATTAGATCAATTCTTTATCAGTTATCACAGATTATCAGTTTTGGGAGGCCCGATTGTAATATAATAATTTTAATAAACCTGCACGGGCCGGGCCAAAATTTAAAAATTTTAAAAACCTCTCAAAATTGCGGGCCGGCAAAGGTTTAAATTTTAGGCCCGTGCAGGTCCCTACTCCTATATATGGGCCATTAGCCACAATAAAGATTCTTTTTGTATAGTAACTGTTGGCGTTTCTTTTGAAGAGATTATTTGTTACGCTCTTAAACTGTACGTATAAATACAATTGTAAGTGATTGACCAATCAACTACGTAGAGTTTTTGATTTTTTAGCGTTAAGAATTTTGTGAAACGCAATAAATCATCATCCTTGCCTGGGTACTATTCTATTTGAAAGAAAAACATCACCGTAGAAAATCGTCCCTAGACACAAAATCCCATTCAATCTCAAACGTCATTTCTATTTATGGTTAATAAATTCTATTATATCGATATAAATAAAAAATTCTGTGCAACTCTTTGGTCTTTAGGCCGCAGTAATAAATTATCATACTCCGAACCAATCATTGATAGGAAATTGAATATATAAGATCCTCGTAGCATTGATTTCAAGCTTTAAATTTTCCATCTTCTGCTAGTTTTACGTAATTGTGTAGAACATTATTTATTTATTTTTCTACAAATCAATATGGAAATCGAAAATAGCGAGCAAGCGATTGATGAGGGGCTTTACTCTAGACAGCTGTATTTATTATATTTTCACTTAAGCTCTATGAAAGTTAAGGCTTGAATTAACTGAAGTAATTACGATCTGTTCCTTTGTGCAGCTATGTTCTTGGCCATGAAGCTATGAAGAAAATGGGAAGTTCTAATGTTCTTATCGTAGGTTTAAAGGGTCTTGGTGTTGAGATTGGTATGTTTTTTTTTTCCTTTTGTTATTTGCATGAAATCAATCTTTATAAGCATAATTTTTATGAAATTTAATCATGATATAGCAAAAAACGTCGTACTAGCTGGCGTTAAAAGTGTCACCCTTTACGATCCCGAGCCAGTCAAGATTTCCGATTTGTCATCGCAAGTAGGACTTTTACGACTATTACGAATATTTATAAATAAGTAATGATATTAGTGTTGATCATCGATAACATCCATTTTTGTTTAGTTTTTCCTTCATGAAGATGACATAGGAAAACCCAGAGCTACAGTATCTAGGCCACGGTTGGCCGAACTCAATCAATATGTACCTGTATCTATATTGGAAGGAGAGTTGACGAATGATAAAATAAGGAATTTTCAGGTGATTTTTGTTTAAATAATACGCGTAATTGGCGTAGCTGGCTTTATTTCAAATTTTGTCATTATAATACACGCGTATACATTTATTTAATCGTGTTATATTACTTGCAGATTGTTGTGTTGACAGAAACACCACTAAAAAAACAATTGGAAATTAACGATTTCACTCATGCTAATGGAATACATTTTATTTCAACTGATATTCATGGTCTTTTCGGGTAAAATGAAAGGTTTATAATATTATCTATTTACTTAAACAATTATTATTAACTTATATTTGTGATTCAGCATGGCTTTTACCGATTTTGGACCTCGATTCACTGTCAATGACACCACGGGTGAGAATCCATTAACAGGCATGGTCGCTGCAATCTCAAAAGACATTGACGGAATTGTAACGTGTCTTGATGAATCGCGACATGGCTTGGAAGATGGTGAATATGTGACTTTTACTGAAATTAAGGGTATGGAAGAATTGAACAATTGTGAACCAAGAAAAATTAAAGTACTAGGTGAGTATAAATTTACTATCTACGCTTATTGAGAATGATTTTCGAGTATATGTCATTAATTTATATATTGTCTTGCTATTAGGTCCTTATACTTTTAGTATTGGTGATACTTCAAACTTTGGTGACTATATTAGTGGTGGTCTTTTCACACAAGCCAAACAGCCAAAAACCATTTGTTTTAAATCTTTTCGAGAAGCTTTACAAAAACCCGAATATCTTGTTTCCGATTTTGGTAAATGGGATCGACCTGGGCAATTACACTTGGGTTTCCAAGCGTTACATGCATTTACCGAAAAAAATGGTTCTCTTCCTCGTCCGCATAACGAACATGATGCAGAAGAAGTTCTTAAGTTGGCCAAAGAGCTTAATGAGCAATGCGAGGAAAAGGTACGCTAAAGTAATAAACAGTAAATATTTAATGCTCCTTTTTCTTAACATTCAAAAAATATATATTTTTTTTTGATTCATAGGTTGAACTAAGCGATAAACTTATCAAACAACTTGCATATGATGCAGTTGGTGATTTATCACCAATGGCTGCAGTATTCGGAGGTTTGGTAGCCCAAGAAGTACTCAAAGCATGCAGCGGCAAATTCCACCCAATCTATCAATTCTTCTATTTCGATTCACTAGAATCACTTCCTGAGAATGAGAAATTCGGTGAAGAGGAATATGCACCAGTAAGAATTAAATCATTAGTAAATACATATTACATGAATTTTTATCTCAGGACCTACTCTAATTCTGCTTAATACTAGTGTGGTTCTCGCTATGATGGTCAAATAGCAGTTTTTGGTAAAGAATTTCAAAGTCGAATTGCAAATTTCAGAGCTTTCTTGGTAAAAACCATAATATTTTATTAAACAGTTTAATTATAGTATAATTACTTATGAAAACTTTGCACAAAATAGGTTGGTTCCGGCGCCATCGGTTGTGAAATGTTAAAAAATTGGGCTATGATGGGTTTAGGAACTGGTCCTAGTGGTGCCATTCATATTACGGATATGGATACTATTGAAAAAAGTAATCTAAACCGTCAATTCTTGTTTCGACCTGGAGATGTCGGCGTATGTATTGAACTATATTATATAATCCTTCGATAAATAAAGTTTTTTAATTCAAAGTTCTGCGCTTAACATTGTTGCCATTTCATGTAGAAATTAAAATCTGAATGTGCAGCAGCAGCTATTGCTAAAATGAATCCTCAAATAGCGTCCAAGATTATTTCCCATCAAGATCGTGTTGGAGTTGAAACCGAAAATATTTATAATGACAATTTCTTTGAGGCATTGGATGTTGTTACAAACGCGTTAGATAATGTTGATGCTCGTGAGTATATTGTATATAACGCCATAAAATTGATCATAATCAATGATATGAAATTCAATCATGTATTATTTTTATAGGTAAATATATGGACAGACGTTGTGTATATTTTAGGAAGCCATTATTAGAGTCTGGAACATTAGGCACAAAGGGTAACACACAAGTTGTTATTCCTTACCTTACAGAGTCATACTCTTCTTCACAAGATCCACCAGAAAAATCAATTCCAATTTGTACTTTAAAAAATTTCCCCAATGCTATTGAACATACCATTCAATGGGCACGTGATTTATTCGAGGGATTGTTTAAATCTCCAGCTGAAAATGTCAATTTATATTTAAGTCAACCTAACTTCGTTGATTCAACAATAAAACAAGGCACTAGTTCGAAAGAGATTTTAGAGGGCATTCGAAATTATCTAGTCACCGCTAAACCACTAAGTTTTGATGAGTGTATCATGTGGGCCAGACTCAAGCTTGAAGAATATTTTAATAATAATATTCAACAATTGCTCTTTAATTTTCCGAAAGATTCCGTAAGTTTCTTTTTGTTTTATAAATGTAAATATATATATCTATTCAAAAGATTTATACTCTTATCATTCATTATTTAACAGGTCACATCATCTGGTACAAAATTTTGGTCCGGTCCTAAAAGAGCACCTGACCCGCTTGTGTTTGATCCAGAAAATGTATTTCATGTTTTAATAATCTATATTCATGTTTATCTTATTGATACGCCATTAAATTACATGACTCTTTACAGGAAACTCATATGGACTTTATTGTATCCGCTGCAAATTTGCATGCATTCAACTATGGTTTGACGGGTGAGGCTATAATATTTATCAGATTAACTACGTTAAATTTCAATGATTATTCGATTTTTATTTATGTGTGATTTTCTGATTTTATAGGTGAAACTAATAGAGAGTACATTAAGAAGGTACTAAGTAATGTTATTGTGCCTGAATTCATACCTAAATCTGGTGTGAAAATTCAAGTTCAGGAAAATGAAACCGTTCAACAAATCACTGCTGATGAAAATGAATTACAAGAAATTGTTTCATCTCTACCACCATCATCATCTTTGGCAGGATATCGATTAAATCCTGTAGAATTCGAGAAGGACGACGATACCAATTTCCACATGGATTTTATCACTGCCGCTTCGAATCTACGGGCCGCCAACTACGCTATTCAACCTGCAGACCGTCATAAGACTAAGTTCATTGCTGGTAAAATTATACCGGCTATCGCTACAACAACTTCATTGGTAACCGGGCTAGTTTGTCTAGAATTATATAAAATTATTGCGGGAAAAAATAAGCTGGAGGATTACAAAAATGGTTTTGTGAATTTAGCTTTACCGTTCTTTGGATTCTCTGATCCTATTGCCATGCCAAAATATAAGGTAAATATTATTCTTTACGTGAATATTTAGCTATACAAAATTTTAATCTGTATTTATAATGAAGTATCATGAATCGGAATGGAGTTTGTGGGACCGATTTGACATCGAAGGAGATCTTACTCTTTCTGAATTCTTGAATTATTTCAAAGAAAATCACGAATTAGAAGTCACAATGTTGTCTTGTGGGGTTACTATGTTATATGCTTTCTTCATACAAGGGAAGAAAAAGGAAGAACGTAAAAACATGAAGTATGTATTAATATGTCTGTAGAGTTTAGATTTGGATACCATAGTGCAGATTAATCTGTTTTTGCATGTATTATAACTTTATTGTATTTATTTAAATCCAAACTCTGCGTGCTTAAGTGTATGACATTTATCTTCTCATATTTACGTCTCTACTAACATTAATTATTCGTCATTAAGATTATCCCAATTAGTGGAAACTATTTCTAAAAAACCGATTCCACCACACGTCAATGCACTCACTTTAGAAATGTGTGTGAACGATCGTGATGGTGAAGAAGTTGAGGTAAATCGCTAATTTACTTTATTAAGCCTTTCGTTTATATGTCAGCGTCTTAAATGATTTTTTTATATAGGTTCCGTACGTACGTCTTGTTATTAGAAAGTGATGAGCAGTGTTGCTATGAAAATTCTAATGAAAGAATAATGAATTTAATAATAAAAATGTTATGTAATAATAACGATAAATTGTTTAATTAAGCAGTAAAAACTGTAATTTTTTTTATGCCTACAATGAATTCTTTATCAGAAACTGTTTGTGAAATAAACCTTATTTTGAATGATTAATACGTATTAACGAAAGTGAAATTGTAAAGTTTTACTTTATCTGACTTTTAAAAAAATGTTACTGATGTCGATAACATGTATATTTCTTAAAAGGTTTGCTTATTGCAAACATAAATTTTCAATATTAGAAAATATGGATAAGTTTTTTTTTTAATACAGTAATATATTCAAGGCTCAGCACAATAATAAACACTAATTTCTTTATGAACCTCAACCACAATTTGACAATCTATCAAAATAATATACCCGTCACACTGGTTGTGATGAATATGATTCAAATACTAAAGATGTTAAAGTTGCAAGTGAAAAAACTACTGAATTAAAAGCAATATCAGTAAGTTATTTTATTATTACGTATTATAAGTTATTTATTTTATTTTATTTTTTTGAAAATAATATTTTTATTAATTTATTGAAGATGCTTTTAGGAATTTTTTTAAATATAAATTACAAAATCTATTTTTATTACAAATTTATTACAAAAATAAAGTTCATATTATAGAAAAATATTAACTATACAGATGTTATTTATCTAATTTATTTGTAACTTAAATCTATTAGAATGGTTAAAACTCTTATTTATAAAGTAATTCCAGTATATAGTATTTAGTAGTCAAGTTATATATTTATTTTGTGTAATGCATGTTCAAGTAGTAAGCAGATATTTAGATAGTATGTTTTAAGTTTGATAATTCATATAAATTGTAAATTGTATTATATAGTTGATATCTGTTAATATAATATATATTATTATAATTAGTTTATATAAATTTTTGTTATTTGGTTTTGGTATATTATAAAATATCAATTTTTTTTTTACTGTTTAGTTTTGTACAATATAGTTTTTATATTTGTTTATAAACTTTTTAAAACAGTTTATATGTATAAAAGTTTATTAGTATAATAAAATTACTTTTTTTTTTGGTATTAAGGTAACCTCTTTGGTCTTTTGACTTTTATTAATAATTTTTTTGGTAATGTAATTCTATGAACCTTACAAAAGAGCATACAATTGGCTATATATGTAATTTTTCTATATTACCTATTTAAGAAGTTTGCTTGAAGATTCTTTATCAATTGCTATATTCAACATTTCTGTTTAGATGCTTTACTTTAAATTTTCTAAACCTGTAATCTGTATTAACTCACTAGATCATATTCAGATGCTCAGATCATTGTCTTAATCTTAAAACTATTTTATTCTTGAGATAAATCTTTTAGAGCCTTTTGTACCTATTTTTACAGTTAACTTAGGTATTACTATAGCAGAACTAATACTTGCAGTCAAAGTTATATTATTTAATTACTATGTTCTTGTAAAGTTTACACAGATCTTAGCATCTACTTTACAAAATAATTCTAATACTTTAGTATACTTTTACCTTTTGTTTAATTTTGTGTTTTGATTTCTAATTCAGATAGTTTATATAGAACTACAATCAATCTATTGGTATATCAAGTTGGCCTGATATCTTTTTTCTTCAATTTATTTTAGTGACTTAGTTTATAATATCTCTAAAACTCTTAATCCAAAGATTTTTGCTTATTTGAGTATTATAACTAAGTATTATAATCTTAGTATCTGTTTTTTAGATTTAGCCTTTATAGTAGAATCATCAAAGATCTAACTACCTTTTTATTTAGGTCTTTTTAAATGAACTTCTTGTTATTCAATTTCAACAGATTTATATATCATCAATCTAACTACTAGTTGATTTTAGTAATTTGAACTAGTTGGGCTATAATTAGTTAACTAACCTAAACCAAATAAATTTCAGATAGCCAGTTAAGTAAATTCTTAATCAGTTGACTATGTATATAAGAAAATACTATAATATATTTCTTAAAATAGAGATTTCTTAGTAGTGAAACATTGTGTAAGAGAATGCTTTAATATAAGCAATAACTTAAAGTAATTTTGAAATAAATTAATATATGATTGAGAATCAGTAATTAGGAGGAATGAGCAAGAATTTCAAAAAGAAAGTAAAGGTTTAAAACTTTTTGAATATAAAGTATAAAGTAATTTTAACTGGTTGATGTAAAATATTTTGGTTTAGTTAATTAATTAAAAAAAATTTTTCAGTTCAAATTACTAGTTGATTTAGATATAAAGTCATATTATGTAAGACTTATTAAATTGGTAATATAGAAGAACTTATAAGGATAGATAAAACACTAATAAGGTTATAAAAGAGAGTACTAGATTGTATAAACTCTACAAGAGTATATTAGTTTAATGATTAGTCTAACTACAAGTGTTAGTTCAACTATAATAAGTTTGGATTAGCTGTAAATAAGAATACAGAAGACTTTGAAAGATTTACCTTAAAAATAAATTAGTTCTAAGGTTAAGATAAGAATTTAAATATAATTTGATAAAGTTGATATAAGTTATAAGTTTAGAGAGTTTAAATAGAACATCTAAGCAGGAATATTAGGTATAATAACTAGTAAAAAACTTTTAGACAAACTTCTTAAATAGGTAATATAGAAAAGTTATATATATAACCAGTTATACATTCTTTTTGTAATAGTTCTTAAGAAACTATGTTACTTAAAAATATTAATAAAATCAAAAAATCAAAAAAATTATCTTAATATTAAAAAAAAAAACATAACAAGTTATGAAATCATTATAAAAACAACCTTTTTAAGATATTTTGTAATAACTAATTTTGGTTTATTTTTAAAACTAAAAAGAATATTAATGATTGCTCTAATACAAGCATTTATTGATTTATTTACAGTAATACAAATTTGTTAGTTTAATAATACTTCATATAACTTATTTAAATCATATAATATTGGTAAATATTTTTCTCAAAGTTGATTAAATTTGACAATAGGAATACCTATATAAAATAAAATCAATTTATTAATAATTTATATATAAATTATCTAAATATAATTAAATATATAATTTATTTATTAATTATAATATTTACAAATTTGCAATATTTTATAAAAATTCTTTTAATTTATCATTATCCAATTTTTCAAAAAGTAAATCAATGACTGTTAAAGCTTGAACAAGATCCAAATTCATTTTTTCTCTTTTAGATAAATGTACAACATTGATGTTTTGCTGTACTTGAACTGAATTGTTAACAGTAATTTTTATGATTTGATGTTTTGTTGAAATAAGATGATCATTGAGTGCTAATTTTTTTTTATGATTCAAAGCACGGCACATTAACAAAGCACCTTCAATATAAAAGTCTTTTCTATATTCTGACGTTGAATATGGTTCCTCGATTCTATTGTATGCAGTAACCATTTTTTTATTCAAAAAAAAAAAACAAAATCGCACAATTCCTCTTTTATTTAAACTTTAATAATAGAGAAACCTTTTTATTTTAAACTTTAATAGTAGAAAAAAACCTTTTATTTTTAACTTTATTCATAATAGAGAAAACGATTGACTTCCGATTTTACTCTACGGATTCTGCTCAGGCAGATTTTCTGCTTTTCCTGCTTGAGCAGGCAGAACTGCGCCAAAAACCGAATTCTGCGCAGCGACCCCTGGACACTCTACCGGGTACAATTCATAGGTTCAAGATCCAGAAGATTGAATAAGACCCGAGTATTATTCTAGTCAGACATATATAGTATTTATATTGAATCCTTATTGAACTACTATTAAACTATGTAAAGTACTCCCATTATAGTATCCTCCCCCGTAATTAGTACCCGGGAGGGTACTATTCAAGAAAGATTGAATAGTACCCGGGGTACATTAGTCAGTGGAGTAGGTACTTTTTAAAAAAACGAAAACAACCACAATAATGTAAAAAAAAATTATATAGAAGGTTTCATTAGAGCTGTAGGACTCTATAGTCAAAAATAAGATCTAATTCTCGTCCGTTTAAAAACATTAGCTTAGTAATAAGTTGATTTTATCGGGTTTTGAGAAGTTATTACTATACTAACTTTTTTAAACAGACAAGAATTAGATCTTCTTTTGGCTGTGAAGTCCTACAGTTCTAATGAAACCTTCTATACACTTTTTTTATTTCACTATGATTTTTTAAAAAGTACTCTAAACTGTATAAATAATATAAAATTAAATTGAATTTATTAGCCAATCAGACAAACTTCTGCCTATGAAACAAGACCATTATCATCGACAATTTATTTCACCAACAATTTATTTCACTGACGGTTTGTTTTATTGACAAAATAATTCCGGTCATTGTCGTTAGGGTCAGGTTTAGAATTAGAGTTAAAGTTAATGCAATTTTTAAAAAAACTTGTCAGTGAATTGATCATCAGTAAAATAATATGGATCTATTTTTGTCCTACTAGTAAAATGGTTGTTGGTTTTTATAACTTCGATAAGATGGTATTTCAGAAAATTGGACTTCGTAGAGTTGGCCCGTAACCTAGATGGCCGTTTACAGAGATTGTGCAAACCACGTGTAAAATTAAGAACTTACTATCGTATATCACTGTGCATTGTGTAATAGTACTGTCATTTGTACTTTTCTCATCTGTGACCTAGAAGTTCTGTTGACAAAGTAGGCTCCTTTTAATCTAACAGTTTAATATAAGACAAAGATGAGCGGCATCAAATATATTGGGTACATAATCAGTCTCATATCAAAACACGTAGACATATTTCTCAGTATCAATTTTGCAAGCTCAACTGCAAGCCATGTGCAATGTTGGTCTTTTAAATTAGTCTTTTTTTTTTTTTTTTTTTTTTCTGAAATTTTAATAAAATGTGACATTTTAATATTAACTTAATATATACTCGATAAT